AGCATTCATTTTATTTAAAAACAAGAGTTTCTTTCTTGTACCCACTACATGTTCTGATTTTTTTTTTTTTTTTTTTTTTTTAGGAACCAGGGATTGAACTCAGGCCCTTGTGCTTGCCAGGCAAACACTTATTCTACTGAGCCATCTCCCTAGTACCCATGTTCTGATTATTAAAGGGATATTCTACATGGGAGCCAAGGTGGTGCAGGGTCCATGTCAACTTGAAGGTCAGTGACACCAAGCATATGTTACTGTCACCCATGTTCCACCAGCCCAGCTACATTCAACTTCTGAGGAGTCAGGCTGACATCAAATGACCAGGTGCCTCAAAAGAGGGAAACACTAATAAGGACCATAAAATAAGACAGAATGATGAAATGAAGACACAAGCCCCACCCTTGGTCTTTGCCCAAGTCCTCCAGTCTTCCTGAAAGGGGCGGGGCCAGCCTCAGCATGCGGAAGCCCAGCACTTTCAAAAGGTGCTCCCCCTGCAGCTGCACTGCAACCAGCTGCCCAACATGCCCTGAGGAGCAACACAGAGAAGTCCATTCCCCTTTCTTATCATTGCTCTCTCTGGAATATTTTCCTGGGATCCTCAAGAAAGGAAAACTAATGATAGTTCTATTCTCTAAAAGCACCTAGTACTTCACTCTTTGAAAGCAACCCTTTAGAGCTACTTAATTTTCTTTTATGCTTTTCTTTGAAGGAAATTGTATTTCTTTGCCTTGCTTTTGTTATGGGGTGTTATGTGTTACTCCCAGGACTTTAAGTGGTAGATAATAAAACATGTTTAGGCCCTTGATGCCAAGAAAGGAGGTGTCAGCAGACGAGGGGACATCTCAGGCCATCAGAGGGCTGAGGAACCAGACCGGGGAGCTATGCCCTGAGCCAGCTGTAGCCAGGCCCAGCTGACACCTGTGTCTTGTTTCATCACTTCATCAGCACCCCTAGAAGCCAGTATGGTGAGGAGATGCCAGCAGCTCTCGCTGCGAGGACCAGAGCTTGCTCTACTGACATCAGGCACAGGAAGATCCTGCAGACATCTATCTCCCAAACAGTCACCATCTTGGCCTCAGCCACATGCACGTGGAAGTGCACACACTCACTAGACAGTCCTGCCCGCTGGCCCTGTCACCAGCACTGGTTGATAATCTTCCTTCCTCCGTCCCCTGCTGCATCTTTTGCTGAAGAATGGATCCCCTGAACCTAGATCCTATGCTTGACCCCAAGTTGCTACGGGGCCAACAAATCAGCCAGTGAAATTTTCCTCTACTGGGCAATGACATAACTGAAGCTTTAACGTTTTAAGTATCTATCATATAGATAGTAGATACTGACAGACACAATGCATTCATGCAATTTAAGTAATACTACTTACGACAAGAATTGCTGGTCAGGTTGTAGGAGGAAAGGAATTCTTTACATTGCTGATGGAAAATTAAACTAGTATAACCACTCTGCAGAGTGGTATGGAGATTCCTCAAAAAACTAAAATTAGAAATTCCCCTGAACTCAGCTTTCTGGGTATCTTCCCCGAAGAATTAAAAACACACTGCAGCAAGGCCCGCACACCTCTGTCTACAGTAGCACAGCTCATAACAGTCAGAACTAGAAGCAGCCTGTATGTCCATAAGCAGAAGGATGGATGGAGAAGATGTGGTGTATATATGCAGAGGAATACTATGCAGCATTGAAGGATGAGTTTAAATTATTTGTAGGACAATGGATGCACATCAGAACCATGGTTCTAAAGGAAATAAATCAAAAACAATTAAATATCCCATGGCTTCTCATATGAGAAATGTAAAGCATAAATAATTTGAAGAATAAAAGAAAAGTAAGAGAATGGGATGGAGGCCTTTTGGAAGTGATAAGAGGATCTAAGGATGGAGGCAGAGGGAAAGGCGAGGAGAACAAAAGATTAAATGTGTGATGCATATGCACCATCTCGCCATGATGAATATATTCATTGTGCATAACAAATGTGTACTAACAAAAAGCTAAAGAATGCAGCCTTACTGCAGCTGTCAGAAGAATTATGATGGCCTTTGGCATGACGATGGCCACTGAGACACAGATACGTGACCCTGAGCCTCTCAGGAGGCTATCACAAGAGGCTGCGCCTATGCCGGCAATGCTTTGGTACTGCATGAGTCCTGGAAGGGGTGACATCCTCTGTCTGCACACAGCCTCAGCCTGGCTGCCCCCAAACCAACTGCTGCTGTCTATATGCTCAGGCCTAACAAAGTGTCCACCACACAGCAGATGTTCCACTGACCACAGGTAGAATAAAAGGAGAAATATATCATCTGATTCAGCCTCATGATTACCCTTTTTAGCAAGCAGAATTGCTTGCACAGTGAAACATGAAAAAACCAAGACTGAGAGAATTCCATCATGTATATGGCAACTAATTCTGTCACGTTTTACATCTAAACTAGCACGATAATCTCTGCATGGAAAAGAATAAGGGTGATACCACACACTGTGTCTAGCTTTTAACACCTGTATTAATTCGCCTTCTCTTACTATAACTAAATATCTGAGATAACAAACTTGAAAAGAGAAAAGGTTCATTTTCCTTATAGTTTCCAAAGTTTCAGTCCATGGTTGGTTGGCCATGCTGGCTTTGTGCCTGTGGCAAGAAGTACATGGTGACCGAAGCACATGGCAGGAGAAGTCCACTGACTTCATGGCAGAGAAGCAGGGAGACTCAGGGGCTCAGGTCTTACTACTCCCTCCAGAGGCAGGTCCACAATGAATGGAAGACCTCCTGCTAAGCCCACCTCCTCATCGCACCACCCCCTCGCAGCAGCACCAAGGTGGGGACCCAACTTTGATCACAGAGGCTTTGGGGGACTTTCCAGATTCAAGCCATGATAACACCCTGTTATAATTTCCTTCACTGGTTCAACTTCACAGGTCTAGCAGAAGCTTGGAGAAATAAGCCAACAGTAGGGATAAACTCACTAGGGTAATTCAAAACGTAGCATGCCTTCACAAGTATCTACAGTAATTTCCTACATAATTTAGCTCCTAAATTATAAAGTTTCAAGGTTGTTCATAAAACAAATTTTTTTTAATGTTCACAGATTCTACGGTCCAGGAATACATACCAAGTAAGGTAGGAACAGCTTGATTCTGCTTCATGCTGTCTGGAGCCTCAGCTGGAAGAAAACCTCAAAGCCCCAGGGCTGGAAGTCTTCTGAAGGCTTGGTCACTCGCGTGGCTTCCAGAGGTGCAGGCTGGATGCACAAGAGGTGCTCCTCTCTACATGGGCTCTCTCCATGGAACTTAGTTTGGACCTCATCAAACACACTGGCTAGGTTCTGGGACCTCCCACGAAGAGCCAGGTAGAGCTGTATGCTGTTCAGGCCTAGCCCCTGGTGCCATGCAGCATTCCCTTGGGCCTACTCTGTTTTGTACACACATCTCCACGTATATGTATGTCCATTTGTATGTGCATGGGGATATATAAAGTACGAGCTATTGATTTATAACAAATTACCCCAAAACTTAGTGTCTTAAAACCAGAAACATTTATTATCTGCAATAGTTCCTTACTAGGAACTATCCACCAGGAATCTGTGAGTTTGGTGATTGGGACCCAGGTCCTCTTATGAAGTGGGGTGCTAAGGCCATCTAAAGACTTGATGTTGGGGCAATGGGAGGATCTGCCTCCCCACTCACACACACACACTAGAGAGGCCTTGGGGCCTCATGATGTGAAACTCTCCAAAGGCCAACCTGATCCAGCTGCTGGTTTTGCCTGGAGAAAGTGACCCAGTGACAATCTAGTTCAGAATTAGTAAAATGAGATCATATACATCATTGCTTCTGACCTATGGTACTGGCCACACAGAGGAACCCTGGGACTATAGAGGGCGGAGATTACACAAAGGAATGGATGACAGATGGGGCTTCTTTGGAAAGTGCAATCAGAACCACAGCTACAGTCACACATCCTTTTTCCTCCTCTTCTGAAAGTCCAGATCCGCTAGACTCCATGCCCATCTCCATGCCCAGCCTCTATCCTGCAACAGGAGCCCCAGAAGCCCTCAGTGCAGGATGCAGCTCGTGCTCATCCAGTCAGTTTTCCTCTGTGCCAGCACACGAGCAGATCTCCGATCCCTGCTGGAGGATGGGCCTGCCACTGCTTTTGGTCAATTACAAGTGTGTAGAAGAGATCCATGTCACTGAGACTCTTTTTCTCCAATCTTTTCTGCAGGGGCATCCAGGGTCCCTGGGGAATGCTACAGCAGGCGCAGCTGTATGTATGATCATCCTGACTCAAACAGGAATACAATGGTTCCCTTCTGCAAAGGGGTATTTTGAAAAGTAAATTATAAATGATAAGCCCTTGGCACACACTGTATAATTCTCACTTTGCAGCTATATAGTACCATTATTATTACTGTGTCACAGGCACCTTGGAGTGCTTCAACCTTCAGTCTGGAGCTATATACACAAGCCTATATACATGTAGACGAAAGTGTGTGTGTGACTGGACAAATGTCTATGTATGGAAACATTCAGACACACGCATACACACCAGTAGATGCAAAAATATATGCAAGAAACTCTCAAAATCATTAACTCTGACCATTTGTTGTAGGAGTTGAAGGGTAGGGAGAAAGTCTATCCTTTATCATCTATATTACTGAATTTATTTCAGTGGATGCATGTTATTTTATATACATCTATACATATACACATATATATGTATGTGTATATATATTTTTTCTCTGTTTTCCAAAAGAAAATAATGTTGATGACCCTAATAAGTCTTGAGGTCTGTATCAAGTGCTTTGGGGCATTATTTCATTGAATCCTTACAATATCTCTCTGAGGTGGGCATAATCTACCTCTATGCATGAAAAAAATAAAGCTCAGAGTCAAGTGTCCAAGGTCACCCAGTTGAGCATGCAGGTGTGCAGCTCCTACCACGCAGGCCACACCTCCCCTCAGCGCATACTGCACCACGATTGCTGCAAACTCACCTGCTTATCAAACTCCGGCTTCAGAGCATCCTCAGTGAAGATGTGAAATTGCATCTTCCTGTGGCTGAAGAGCACGGCCGACTTGAGCATGACCAGCGTCTCCTCCAGCCGACTGCCACAGGCCACCACGGCGAGGTGGATCCAGAGCTCAGGAGGCAGCACAGCGTGGAAATGCCTGGGTTGTCCAGCCCTCCTAGAAAGGAAAAAAGCAAATTAAACCTAGAACTGAAATTTAAAAAAAAATTAAAAAGCTAGTGAATGGTTGGAACATTTCAAAACATGAACAGGCACAATCTGTTATATTTTATAAAGTGATAAGCATTTTGACAATTCTTCCTGCTTACAGGAAACAACCATTTATTCCCTTATTTATCCTGGCGATAGCAGGGTGAGTCACTGTTTGGATAGCTATAGGTGTCTGGGACTTTCCTCTGCCAGCTTTTAGCTGTCTAGTGCCTGCTGGCTGCCTGCTAGTCCATGTTTGGAAAAATATTGCTAAACTTCGACAGCTGACACAGGGCTGTGGGGCTCCTACTTGCAGAGGCCATGAAAATTAGATTTGAGTGCAACTTGAACAAGAGGAGGGTGGTTGTAGCTTTCCCATGTGAAATGAGCAACATGATATGCCGTCGTCATCTGGATGTTTTTAGGTTGCAGTGGAATGCATGACGACCAGACTGAAGGACTATCACGCAAGTGCAGGAGGTGAGCAAACATCAACTGCGCCTCCCACCCCCTTCCATCTGGAGAGAGTCGTGAAGAAACAGGTGTTAATCCTAACTGTCTTGCCAAAGACTGGTGGGGCAGTAGGTATGAAGTCCAGCTTCCAGGATGAAATGCCTATTAATGAGGAGCGGGCAGGAGAGGGGACAGGTTTACCTGCAAGCAATCAAGGTTTCAAATACTCAGTCAACAGCTGGGAAGGGAATAGGGCCCAAGAGCCTACAATCATCATCCAACTATTTCCTAGCAATAAAAGATTAGTTCCAGACAAGGAGATGCAGCCAAGCCTCAAACACACCACTGAGAAACATCTGCAGGCAAGCTGGAAGAAACTGGCCTGGAAAAGGTGTCCTGAGACAAATGAAACTAATTTATTTGCACAAAAGATCTGGAGACCAGGGGAACTTGGATGTCAAGTGCTACCTGCTTTCCAAAACCTTCAGGTTCAATCCACACACTGCTCCATTATTCTCTGCTCTGGTGGACAACGGCAGTCTTGCTCCAGATTTCTTTCACCAGGAGGAAAGTTGAAGATGTGGGTGGAGTGCTTTGGAAAGCTTTCCAATTTGATTATTTCAGATCATTCTTGGCAGAAGCACAGCCTCATGGCTCAGCCAAGGCCAGAGGCAGCGAGTTATTTGGATTCTACTTTGGGGATCAAGGAAAAGATGGTATCCTGGGGAACTGTCCACTTCTCCTCATCCCCTGCCATTGGCTACTGTCTTCTCTCACTTCATGTACTGACAGCCCTGGTGGTCCACTGGCCTCTGATCTTATCTAAAATTCCCACTGTATGTGTTCTTTTTTGTGACAAGACTGGAGTTCTAAAATGCAGATTATACTATTCCTTTGGTTAAAATATATATTGTCTTGGCACTGCCTTCAAAATCAAGTCCAAACTGCTAATTATGGGTCCTCCTTTTATTTTTTGCAAGTGCCCCCAGCACTCTACTTCCTGGACACATGGCCATTCACAATTATAGTCACTGTCACCCTTCATTCCCATACTGTTCATTTCTAATTTAGGCTGTTGGCCCTAAGACTTGACATGTTCATATTCATTCATTCATTTTTACTTGGCTCTGTTTCTCTCAGAAATGCTCTTCTTCCCATCTGCCTTGCCAACTGTAGTTAAATTATTAATGAAATTTTTACTAAAAGACAATTAGATGCCAGGCACTATTCTGGAAAAGATAATAGTGGACAAAACAAAGATACCTGCCCCTGCAGAAGTCACAATTGGCAGAGGATACAGGAAAGATAGAAATAAAGTAACAGCCACCAGGGCTGGCTCCTAAGTAATTCCGACAGAAGATGCAGATGCGTTAGGTGCTATGAAGGAAATGTGTAGCTGGGTCCCAGGAAGTGGCAGGTGGGCTAGTACAGTAGGGTATCACGCAGCAAGTCTGGAAAGGCTCCCCCAAGAAGGAGAGATTGGTTGGTGGCTTGAAGGAGTGAGGGAATGAGGGAGGAGCCCTGGTAGAGGACACAGGCAGAACACAGGCATCACATCAAGGGTGATCCCGGAGGCGATGGGGCCTCCACCTGAAGGACTCACCTGCCCATTCTTTCCCTCGGTTCCAAGCACGAGCTTTCATATAT